AATTGAGTCGTGCATCTGAAAGTGAAGTGACGTCGTGGAAACAACTTTCATTCATAAATCCTCAAATGTTGCCATATTGGCCCAGCAGCTCATCTGCCCCTCTGACTGTCAGCAATGTCTGTGGTGGCTAGTGAGATTGTGTTTACTCCTCTGCATCAAGCGAGGGTGGGTGAACGAGGGCTCACAGGCCAAATTCTGTCCACCTGTATTTTTGTAAATACAGTTCCATTGGCATGCAGTCGAGGGTCCTTTATTTATGTGTTGTCTCTGGTTGCTTTCACCCTAAAACAGCAGAGTTGAGTACGTGACAGAGACAGTGTGCCCTGCAAATCCTGAAATATTGACTATGTGGCCCTTTCTCGAAAGGTTTGCTGCCCTGTGACATGGAGCACAGCACTACAGAGGCCAAGCACATGGTGTTTGCTTGCACGTCCCACTCAGCACGGCTTTGTTCTGAGGCTGCCATGGGACCCAGTACTGCCCCCGTCAGTATTTGAGCCAGAACAGACACCTGCCACCAGGTACCACCAAACCACAGCTGGGACGACACTGGATTTGCATCTGATAGGCAGATGGGGCTGTGTAGGTTCCACCTGCTCATTTCACTAACATCACAATATCACATTTGACATGATTGGGTGTTGGACCCCACTTACCACGTTATGGTGGGATTTTACTGACCCTGCATTACAATGGATAATGCCTGTCTCTGTACTAGAGGGCCTCCCCGACCAAGTGCTGAGCTCTTCTTGGGAAGGGATCATCTCCTTCTCATGCCTGGCGCTTAGGGCTGCTCATATGTTGGTGGCTGGGTGAGGAGCAGGTTTGCACTACTTAACCCTTGGAGTGATGGCAAATTCTCTGGCCTAAGAGTTGGTGCTTGTTTTTGGACAGCTCTCCCTTATGTGGAACCGTGTCTGCTTCTCAGGAACTTGGAGCCCTTGGTGCTAATCCCACCCTCCTGGATGACTCGGAGTGAGCCCTGCTCTTCAGTGTGGTAAAGAAGCCAAAGCTCGAAGACAGTAATCACACCCCTACAACCCCCTACACACACGTGTGGATGCACACGCGCGTGCGCGCACACACTCAGCTTTAACATTTCTCAGGCTCAGCGATCCTACTTTCTTCTCTGGCTTTCTGTGACTTGATTTCAGACTGTTTACGTAATGGTTGGCTTCCTCAGTATATGATGTCCCTTTGGAGATGTGTTAGGACCAAATGCTATATTCAAGGTGCGCCATGCCTTGTCCATATCCAATGGACTGTTACCTTTAAAAAAAAAAAACAAAACACTTTTTATTTAAGTATAGCATAATATACCAAGTCCAATAATCAAGATTATGCAGCTTGATGAATGAAAAGAATGTATCCTTATAATCACTACCCAGTGGACAAATGGTGAGGTATCAGCGCCCTAGTCCACCCATACTCTCTCCTCCCACGTCTTTTAATACCATCGATAAGTTGTGTCTGTTCTTGAACTTCAAATAAATGGATCATGCAGAATATATTTTTGTGTCCAGTATATGTGTTTTTTATATTCTATCACCCATACCACACTGTCTTCAGTTACTGTAGCTTTATAGTAAGTCTTGAAGTCGGATGGTGTCAGTCTTTGTTCCTCTCCTTGAGTATCATGGTGGTTATTCTTTTCTTTTGCCTCTCTGTATAAACTTTAGAGCCAATTTGTCAATATCCACAAAATAACTTGCTGGGATTTTGATAGTAATTGCATTGAATCTATAGATCAAGTTGAGAAAACTGACATCTTGACAATATTGAGTCTTCCTGTCCATGAACATGGAACATCTCTCCATTTATTTAGTTCTTCTTTGATTCCATTCATCAGAGTTTTGTACTTTTAGGTGCAAGTGGAGAGGTCAAAGGCGGGGAAGTGTTCTATAGTCCTGCGATCCTATGATTAACTCTCAGATTTTTAAGGAGACTGTTCCTCTAGATTGTGAAATCCACATGCACTTCTCCATTTTCCCCTCCTCCTTAGGTAGGACAGGATGGCTAGAGTGGGCTGGAGTTGGGTGTGGTATTGGTGACAATACCATAATTTATTTAACCAATCCTCTTTTGCTGTGCATTTGCCTCTAGTTTTTCTCTAGTTGGACAAATACTGTAATGAACATCCTCAAAGCTAAATCTTTTTGCATATCTTTGATTTTCTTAGGATAGAGTCCCTAGAAGTGGCGTTGTTAGATCGTATGTAGGCTCTAACGTTTGCTAGGAATTGCCAAACTGCCGGCCATAAATTTATATCCCCACCAAAAATGATAACGTGCCCATTCCCTGTGTGCTGGCCAGCGCTATGAGTTGGCTTTATGTTCATCTTTGCTAATTTGATAGGCAAAAGAGAATAAAGAAGGAAAAAAGGAATCTTCTTGTATAAAATTGTATTTTTTTGATTACTAGTCAGGTATAACATTTTTAAATGTTTAATGGCAATTTGCTTTTCTTCTTTTGTGATTTGCCTGATTTTTGCCCTTGGCCTATTTTTCTTTTAAGATATTTGTCTTTTTCTCCTACTGTGTCTTTAGGTCCTTATATAGTAAAGACTCTCATACATCCTGCAAGTATTTTTCTGATTTATTTGCCTTTTTGCTTTGTTTCTGCTGTTTTTATCATAGAGAATTTAGGTTTTTTTGTAGCCAAATTTTTGTTATCATACTTCAAAAGACCTTCTCCAGCTCAAAATTGTATATCTATTCATATTTTCTTCTTGGATATTCAAGTTTTTTTTCTAACATTTAAATCTTTAATCCTTATGGAATTAATTTTGGCATATACAGTGAATTAGAGAACTAACTTTATTTTTTTTAACGGTTAGCCAATTTTAATCACATTTTCTAACTGATTATTTCTGGTAGATGGGAAAAACAATCATTTTTATGTATTTATTTTAAAATTTGAAGCCTTTCTCAAGTTCTTACTTATTCTAATTTTTTAGTTGATACTCTATTTTTCCAGGTAGAAAATTGTATACTCTTCTTTCCAATATTCATACTTCTTGTTTTGTCATCTTTTATTTCTTGGCTCTAATTTCTAGACCAATGTTAAATAATAGTATAGATATTATGGCATTTTCTTGTTTTTAACCAAAATGAAGCTGGTATTTTCTTCTTTTTAATTTTATAAAATTCAATTTTTGTGTGTGTTATTTTGCTGTTGCAAAAACTCAGACTTGTAGGAAGTCTGCCATTACCTTTTCCTTTGCATGGTCAGTCTTAGGGTCTCCCTTTGGCTAAATCTGAGCTGAGTTCATCGCCGGGTCAGGACTCTCCTAGTTGCGACCATGAGAGGTGAGCAAGGCCAAGGGGTGAGGGAGCGTTCTCTGTACACCTCTCCCCAAGCCCCTTGGCCTCTTTGGCCCTAATGGTTGTCAGAAAAGCCCACACACTCTAATGGCTGAGCATTTGCCAGAGGGAAACCCTTGTAAATGTTATCCTGTAGCCGAAGAACCAGCTACCCTGTAACATGTGAAATGGTAGGATTCCCTGAGAGTGTCCGTTGCATTTTTCTGGCCTATATCAGTTGGGAAAAGTCACAAATCCTTTTGTTATTTGTTATTTTTTAAAGTGGGAAATTGGAATTGAGGACAGGGAAAAGGAGGGGTATGATTGCCCCTAAGCTCTGCTCTGTACTCCTGGAAGAAGAGAGGTTTGGAAGAGACCTTGGAGGAACTTCCCAATACAGATGCTCGTCCTTGCTTTTCCCTCTCTGTGTCTCTGAAAGGCATATCGAGTTCCCATTAGATCATTCTATCTCAGCCTAGATGAACACAGCAAAACTGTATGGTCCCTCAGCTCACAGTGAAGCAGCTTCTCTGCTGATTTCATGAAATCTACAGCCCTAAAATGTCCCTCTGACCCTGAGAGAGGCCTACAAGTCCCATGTTATTGCTTTATGTTAAAGTATGGAAGGCTCATTGGGAAGGCAGGTGGTACATTCAAATCCAATAGGGGTTACCCCATTAGGCCGCTCTTGGCCATCAGCTCCTCAGCACATTAGAGTCCCAGATGGGCCAGCTGGTCTCCTAGCAGATTCTTGAGGGACAAATGACAGGTTTTGATGTGGTGTGGCGGGGGTGGCGGGTGGTTGGGTGGACTGTCGTTGTGGGGGTTCCCCTGTACCCCTGTGTGCTAAAAGAAGGATGGTTACTGGAGAGGGAACAGAGGCTAGCCAAAGAGCCCTGATGTCGGCACCAGTTTGGCCCATGGCATCCCTGTCTGGCCCTCTTGACCCTGCTGCAGCCTGTATTGTCTTTCTCTCCCCTGGGGGTTCCTCCTGGTCATTTCCCCCTTTTGTTCTCCATCACTTCTCAGTCCTTTCTCTCTCTCACCCTCCCTTCCACACCCCCGCCATTTGTCTCTACAGCTCATGGCACCTGTGAAGGCATCCTGGGTCTGTCCTTCCTCATCAGCTGCCTTTCTGCCAATCTCCCCACAACAGTCATCTTTCCTCCTTGCTTCAGGCCTCTTCCTTTCTCTTTCCATCTGTTTCCACTTTGTGCATCTCTCCTTGGTATTGTCTGGCATGCCAAATAATTTAAGAGGGTTATTCGAAGCTTTCTGTACCTGTGACTCTAAATAAATGCAGTTTGATTGGGTCATTTTTTTGTTCTTTAATGGAGTCAGAAACTTAAAAGGTTTTATACTTAGTGAATTTATATTTATTCAAAATATTTTTATTTCATTAAATAAACAATGGGAACGTGAATTTTAAAATACTAACTATATTGTGAATTGCCATGCTTTTCCATTTCAGAATCTTTGCAGCTGTAATCAATACACGAGAGAAAGAGAGAGATCCTGGGTGAAGATGTAAGGGTTGACTGTTTTCATGTCAGATCTTGGAATGAATAGTGACTGTTCTTCGAATCATTGCTTGGAATCTTTTCTTAACCTCAACGATACTAATGGTCTGTTGTTTTCTTCTTTGTTGTGTGTGTACATCCCTGTGCTTGTGTACATGGTGGGCTCTGGCAATTCCAGGACGAAGTCCTGACCGTGATCAGAAGAGTGGATGACAACTGGGCAGAAGGAATGCTGGGGGACAAGATTGGGATTTTCCCTCTCCTGTACGTGGAGGTAAGGTCCCACTGTCACACTTGCTGCTTCTTTTGCCCTTGTTTGTTTCACTAGACCAGGGGTGATGTGACTTTAGACCGGGGGTGACCTGACCTTGGAGCCCCCTTTTCCAAGAGAGAAAGAAGCTACTCCACAATAATCTGAGGTCAGATAGACTTGTAAGATTCACAATTACCCGAACACCTTGTAAGCCTCCACTTGTGCATTTGCTTCAGCTCCTAGGGGGTGTTCTCCATCCTGCTGCTTAAGATCTGAGAACTTGATGCATGAATACCACTGACCGTGCAGTCTAAAAGTCAAAACTCTGAGCTCCCAGACATTTTTAGCCTGTGGAACTTTTTCCCAGGCTGACTCTTACAGGGATACTCAAAGACATATATGAGAATGTTCACAGAAACCTTACTATGATGGCCGCAAACTGGAAACACTTCAAATGTCCATCAACTGTGGCATGGATAAATAAAGTATGGTACGTCCATACGATGGAATGCTGTCCAGCAGTGAAAATGAACGAAAGATTACTACATTTTCTACATTTTTGAAAGAAGCGAAACACAAGAGAGCGTATGCCATATGAGTTTTTAAAGGAGGTTCAAAAGCAGGCGTGACTACCCGAGGGCAACAGACAGCACAGCGGTGGTTTCGGCAGCACGTTAACTGGAAGAGGCAAGAAGGAGTCTTCTGGGACGTGGAGATGTTTCATAGCTTGGTTTTGGGAGTGGCTACACGGATGTAGCAGCTGGTGTCCAGTTAACGTTGGTGCACATTTTTTTACACTGCAATTTAAGAAGCTAGGAAAAAATGTTATGGGGAACCGTAACAGGTAACAGTGGCATCCACCCCTTGCTGACAGTTGAGTCAGGCCCGTCAGCTACCCACTTCTCTGGAAGGGGCTCAGGCATTGTCAGGGAGGCCGAGAGCATGGGCATAGAGCTGGAAGACCAACCAGACACACGCAAAGGGCAAACTGGCAGGTCGCCCATCTATGCCTTCCCAGGGTTGATTGCCTAGTCGCTGGAGATGTGCCTTTCAGATACTCCTCCCTCCAGGATGTACGGAGGCTCCTTCATCACTCTGGCCCTGTGGCCCTTCGTGCCCCACGCCTCCCCTTACAGGCCCCCCTCTGCTCTGGGCTCAGCCTCCTTACGCCCTGTGTGTTTCCTCAGACGGGACGGCCCCATGGCCCTTGAGGCTCAGGGGCTCGGCCCTCCTCCCAGGAGCTGTGGCAGGGGTCTCACTCCTTCCTCTCCCGCACCTTCCTGGGCAGGGCTGCGGCCTGTGCCGTGCCCAGCCCCACACCATCGCCTGTGGAGCCCTGGTGCAGCCACAGCACTGCCTCAGATGCTCGGAAACAGACTTCTAGGTTCTTAGCAACAACCAGTGAAGACAAGAAGCCCCAAACGGGGATTTCCGGAGACTGTGCTCCGGGGTTTTATGTCGATTCCCTTTTGAGGTGCTTGAGGTTTGAGGTGCTTGAGGTGTGCAACAAAAGCCCACCATGACTCTTGCCTCGCATATGGCCTTAGGGTGCGTCTTGGTGGGTTGTAAAGTTCGCGATTAGCTGAGACTGTTGTCCTCTTTGAGGCCGAGCAGGCAGGTCAGATCAGAGTGGTCGGAGCTGGGGTCCTCCGCAGGGTTGGAGCCTGAGCCAGCTTGGTGTGCCAGGAGGGGCCGAGGCTGTCGTCTCCGCTGCTGCTCAGGCAGACAGCCCCGTTTGGAGTGTCCTTTATCCGAGAGATGAGCCTGGTGCTTCTGGAGGAAAGTGGTGGAGTCGTGCTCCTCACAGGACTGGCTGACAGAGAGCTCTCCTCCAGCCTGTCCAGCTGGGGTTGGAAGTGCGTGCGGGGCTCAGGTCTGTGCTCAGGCGTCTGGCTGTGGTCCCGTGGGGCGCCGAGGGCCTCTGCCCGCCCTGGGCTGCCCACCAGTCAGTTCAGGCCGGATGCTTGATGGACCGGGGTGGATCTGTGAGAAGTGGGTGAGAACTTTTGCGCTGCAGACTGTATAGTCCTCTCCCAACAAGGGCTATTTCTTTGCCCTGGGCTTTCTGGGCAGGCGCAGTGGACAAATGGAATAAAACCGCCTGGAGCTGGTCTGACCTGCTGCTGCCGGCAGGCTGTTTCCTGAGAAGGCAGTGCTATCTCCAGGAGTGTCTGTACTTCCTGGTGTGCTGTGGGTCATCCTCTCAGCTACTATCTCCACAGCCCCCAGCTGCCCACCTGCCCATTGATCACGGGCACTCAATCTGTGTGCACCTGCCACCTCGCCCTGTCCTTTCTCCCTGCCCCCGTGCGCCTCTCCTGCCTAGGCCTTGATCTTCCTCATTGCCCTTCTAGCTCCTCTTCCTGGCCCACAGTCCTGCGTCCCGGAACCTGCCTCCTTGTTCTTTGCTCCCCATCGGTTTTGTGTGCCATCAGCGCCAGCGGCCATCTTCACACCGGGACTGATGGCACGTGTCACTGACACCTGTCCGTTTGTCAGAGGACAGCTGGGCAGGGCACCTTCGCTGGTGTCCACTTGGGACAGAGAGAGGAGCAGACAGGGTGCTCTTGTCCTCGCGGAATAAACCCAAACATAAGACAGGGCCTTCCTTCTGTGTCTCCAGTCCTTGAGAGGGCAGAATTATTGCCAGCATTTTGGTTCTTCAGAGTGCACTGTTCTAAGAGAAGTGAGGATGAGTCAATCTGAGGGAATTCCTCAGGCCCAGGGGCTGGGGAGCCCTGCTCCTCGGTGTGTGAGGGCTGCAGTGTTGCTTGCGTGGGTCAGTGCTCTGCAGGAACACGGGTGAGGCTCTGTTGTTCCCGAGTCCTGCCATGGCTTGGCTGGGTCCCCACCCTGTAGCGTGAGTGCCCCAACCTGAGGTCCTGCCAAGCCGGCCCCATTCTTCTTTTCCCCGGGGCTCCAAGATGGCGTGCCTGGCGTCTGCCACTCTTGAGAGCAGGGCCCGTTCCTCATGGGCAATGGCAGCCCCAATGGCAGGACCTTGAGTGGGCCGCGGGGCAGCTCAGGACCTCGTGGGCTTCAGAGGTGGACCCAGTGTGGCTCAACACCACACATGAGACACGTGACCTTTGGCAAGTTCCTTACCCTCCCTGAACCTCAGTGTCCTCTCTTCACGGGCAGTGACATGGACCTCTGGGGTGGTTGTGAGGCTTAAAGACAATAACGGAGTGCACAGACCGGGCCGGCACGAGGTAGGCTCCTTGCAAGGGCCGTCTCTTTTGTTTCGTTGCTATAAATGTTTGCTGAAAGAATAACTGCTCACTCGTGTGTTTGTTGAAGATCTGTGTGTGGTTCCTGGGCTTTGACCACACTCGGCCTGTGTGGCTGAGTGTTTTCTCACAAGTGCTCCTGTCGCTTCCCAGGGGGTGGGCTCTTTGGGGGCAGGTGTGCCCCCATGTCTATGCAGGCACAGCAGCACCGGCTGGGGAATTAGCGGTTGGATAATGCCAACAAGACAGGAGACACGAATGTGCTGTGCTGCGTGGTGGGAGAGGCAGCTCTCTTGAACGCCGTCTTTGAGCAGCACTATGGGAATCAGCTCACTGTGGAGAGGTCCAGAGACAGGATGCAGGGCTGTGCTCTCCTGTCCTGCAGACTCTTGGTGGGGACTTGCATGCAGACTTAGAAGGCACGTTAGCAGGTTTGCCTATGATGCTTGTCCGTGAGGAAAACTTCTCCGCGGGGCCAGAATTAAGATGCCAAAGACACCAGAATAGGCTGGAAACACAGTTGTAAAGAATGGTGAAATGGAGTAAGCATAAATGTCAAGTTCTGTCTTCATGCTCAGAAAACCAGTTGTTCAAGCAGCGTCATGAGGAGACCTACCTCACCAGCAGTTAACGAAAAAGACCCCAAGTCGGTGGATGATATGCTGGTGCTTTGTTTATACCGGGTGGGATATTTAAAAATCAGCTCCTCTGCGTGGTCGGTGTGTAGATGGTTACCTCGGTGACGTGTCGTGTAGGGCATACCCTCATGTAGACTCGTGCCCGCACCACGCGCAGGAGCAGCCCGCATCGCCTCCTCCCTGGCAGCAAACGGGGAGGGTGTGAGGAGGGTCCTGCCTTCCCCACTTGCCCTAAGTGTCCCGGGTGGCGAGGGAGAAGATGGCTGTTGTGTGCTTCACGTGGCCCCACGTCTGCAGCGTGACGCCAGGCGGGGGTGGCGGAGGGTGTGGAGCACCCTGTGCCTAGGCGTGCTCTGCTCAGGGGGAGGGGAGAGCCCCTTGGCGTCCGGGCGTCCTGCTGCCTCAGGGCTGGCTTGGGAGAAGAGAGGGTAGTGGTGCCCTGCGGGACGGCCTCCCCTCCCCTCCGCTACCAGTGCTCCGCAAGAGCCCTAACCGTGCATCCCCGGTCTGCTCGTTCATCCTCTGCTTTTATTGGCGCGGCTCCTCAGGGGGTGTTACGGGTGAGAGGTCATCCTCCCATTTGGCTGGTAAGGAACATGAAGCCTGACCGGGATGGCACTGGGCACCGGGCACTGGGCACTGGGGCTCGGCCACCTGACCTCGGCCGGGTTCTTTCCCAGTGTGGACGGGCATGCACCGAAGGAGGGAGGAGTTCTCTTGACCCCCTGGAGGCCTGGCTTGGTGCCGTGGAATGCCTCAGGGCTCTTCTAGAAATGAAAGGTTTCAGGGAGCACTTCTCTTGTGAATCCAGGAGGTCTTGCTAAGCCCAGCGTGTGTGCACATCTGCACGCAGAGTTGGCTTGAGATGGGAGAGGTTGAAGCACGTGGTGACCGTGGGTCAGGGGCAGCCCCTGTTGGGCTCAGAGTTGGGAAGCGGAAACAGGGGCACGGACTAATCAGCGGAGCTGATGGTGACATGTGAGGGTCTGATAATTCAGAGAAAGCCCCTTTGCGTCAGTGGATTTACTAAGATCCCCCTGGGATCTGGAGAGAGTATCTGGAGACTTTCTCCTGCCTTCTGTGACCGTGGCTGTGTGAGCACGAGGGAGCACGATGCCCTGGCTGCTGCCGCACGTTTGCTGTGGACATGGGTCCCTCCACCTTTCTCCCCAGTGCTGGAGTTGGAGATCCAAGAGTTTGCAGGCTTCCTCTCTGTGGCTTGTCAACCCCATTGCTTTGGGGGAAAGAGGCAGATAGAATTTCTGTGGTGGCGAAGCATACTTTACACTTGCACCTGGCCATGGCAGATGGGATGGGATGGGCTCAGAGGCGCGCCCATCCTTGAGTGCTGCTGCAGGGGAGTGGTCAGGTCTCATGAGGAGGCCCGAGCAGATAGTCTCCAGGGGCCTCTTGTACAGAGGGGACCCCAGTCGAGAGGAGTCCAGAGGCCTGGCAGGAATTTTCAAATGTATCTGCAGCAGCCGCTTTCTGAGTGCCCATCCCACATCTAGCAAGCCTGTGCCTTGTGTGCACTGTGGCGGGCAGGGCCATGGGCGAGCTGGGTCTGCGGTTCATTTCCCCCTGGAGACTGTGTGGGTGGAGTGCCACCACAGGTCCCCAAGAACCACCACTGGGCCTGCAGCTCCTAGGGCTGACTCCCCAACCCCGCCGCTGCCCTAAGCTGCAGGCTCAAGTCTGCAACCAACTGATGAGGGCTAAGACCCCCGGTGTCTCCAGCCCCTCAGCTCTCACATCCACTCTGGCGTTGCCTGGCCCCTCCTGCTCCCTCTCGGCTCCTCTCTTGCCCACCACACGGGATGGCACCAGTGTCTCCCAAACTGCAGCGTGGGTTCTCTCTGATCCCCTTTCCTCCCTCACTTTCCAGATATACTCTGCCCTCGGTTCTCATCAGTTCTCTCTCTGAAACTCCTTCTCAATTCAGCAAATACAGATGATATATGTCAGGCACTGGTCTCACTACTTCCCACGTCAGGAAACAGGAAATGGTCTCTCTCCTCAGGGAATCGCCTTTCTGGTGTGGGGAGCAGACAGCAAAGAAGATACGTAGGTCAGTTATGCAAACAAATTAGAAAGTGATAACCACAGTGGGAAAACAATCAAACAGAAGGGAGACGGGGAGTGGGTGAGCGTTCCAGACGAGGGAGCAGCCTGCACAGAGGCCGAGGCAGGAATGCCCCAGGCCTGAGTGAGGAGTAGCAAGAAGCGCCGAGTGGCTGGAACCGGGTGGGCGGTGGGCAAGTCATAGGAGATGAGGGCGGTTGTGTAAAGGGTCAGATCACGTAGGCCCTTGAAGGCCTTTTATTTTTTAATTTTTTTTTATTGTGGAAACATTGGTTTATAGCATTGTGTAAAGTTCAGGTGTACATCATTGTACTTCTGTTTCTGCACAGATTACATCACGTTCACCACCACTAGTTACAGTCCATCACCACCCATGTCCTTGAAGGCCTTTTGAAGAACTTGGGCTTTTGCTTTGGGTGAAACAGGAGACCCCT